ATCCATATATCAATCTTTACTTCTGGACCATTCCGGAGTTCCTCGTCATATCCGTGATCTCATCCGAAACTCCGAACAACATTCGGTCACCAACATACATAACTCATAGTACTATATCGTCAACAAACGTTAAGCGTGCGGACCCTACGGGTTCGAGAACTATGTAGACATGACCGAGACACCTCTCTGGTCAATAACCAATAGTGGGACCTGGATGCCCATATTGGCTCCTACATATTCTACAAAGATCTTTATCGGTCAGACCGCATAACAACATACGTTGTTCCCTTTGTCATCGGTATGTTACTTGCCCGAGATTCGATCGTCGGTATCTCAATACCTAGTTCAATCTCATTACTGGCAAGTCTCTTTACTCGTTCCATAATACATCATCCTGCAACTAACTCATTAGTTGCAATGCTTGCAAGGCTTATAGTGATGTGCATTACCGAGTGGGCCCAGAGATACCTCTCCGACACTCGGAGTGACAAATCCTAATCTCAAAATACACCAACCCAACAAGTACCTTCGGAGACACCTGTAGAGCACCTTTATAATCACCTAGTTACGTTGTGACGTTTGGTGGCACACAAAGTGTTCCTCCGGTAAACGGGAGTTGCATAATCTCATAGTCATAGGAACATGTATAAGTCATGAAGAAAGCAATAGCAACAAACTAAACGATCAAGTGCTAAGCTAACGAAATGGGTCAAGTCAATCACATCATTCTCCTAATGATGTCATCCTGTTAATCAAATGACAACTCATGTCTATGGTTAGGAAACTTAACCATCTTTGATCAACGAGCTAGTCAAGTAAAGGCATACTAGTGACACTCTGTTTGTCTATGTATTCACACATGTATTATGTTTCCGGTTAATACAATTCTAGCATGAATAATAAACATTTATCATGATATAAGGAAATAAATAATAACCTTATTATTGCCTCTAGGGCATATTTCCTTCAGGCACACCTTCTATCACAGATCCGAAAGGCAAGATCTTTGTTGCTAAGAGTGGATCCTTTCTAGAGAAGAAGTTTCTCTCGAAAGAAGTGAGTGGGAGGAATGTAGAACTTGATGAGGTAATTGTACCTTCTCCTGAATTGGAAATTAGTTCATCACAGAAATCAGTTCTAGTGATTTTTATGCCAATTAGTGAGGAAGCTAATGATGATGATCATGAAACTTCAGATCAAGTTACTACCGAACCTCATAGGACAACCAGAGTATGGTCCGCACCAGAGTGGTACGGTAATCCTTTCTAGAAGTCATGTTACTAGATCATGACGAACCTACGAACTATGAGGAAGCGATGATGAGCCCAGATTCCGCGAAATGGCTTAAGGCCATGAAATCTGAGATGGGATCCATGTATAAAGAACAAAGTATGGACTTTGATTGACTTGCCCAATGATCGGCGAGCCATTGAGAATAAATGGATCTTCAAGAGGAAGACGGACACTGATAGTAGTGTTACTATCTACAAAGCTCAAATTGTCGCAAAAAGGTTTTTGACAAGTTCAAGGTGTTGACTACGATGAGATTTTCTCACTCGTAGCGATGCTTAAGTTTGTCCGAATCATGTTAGCAATTGCCACATTTTATGAAATCTGGCAAATGGATGTCAAAACTTTATTCCTTAATGGATTTTTTAAAAGAAGAGTTGTATATGATACAACAAGAAAGTTTTGTCAATCCTAAAGGTGCTAACAAAGTGTGCAAGCTCTAGCGATCCATCTATGGACTGGTGCAAGCATCTCGGAGTTGGAATATACGCTTTGATGAGCTGATCAAAGCATATAGTTTTATACAAACTTTTGGAGAAGCATGAATTTACAAGAAAGTGAGTGGGAGCTCTGTAGCATTTCTGATATTATATGTGGATGACATATTGTTGATCAGAAATGATAATGAATTTCTGGATAACATAAAAGGATACTTGAATAAGAATTTTTCAAATAAAGACCTCGATGAAGCTGCTTACACATTGAGCATCAATATCTATAGAGATAGATCAAGACACTTGATAAGATTTTTCAATGAGTACATACCTTGACAAGATTTTGAAGTAGTTCGAAATGGAACAGTGAAAGAAGGAGTTCTTACCTGTGTTGCAAGGTGTGAAGTTGAGTAAAGACTCAAAACCCGACCACAACAGAAAATAGAAAGAGAATGAAAAGTCATTCCCTATGCCTCAGTCATAGGTTCTATAAATATGCTATGTTGTGTACCAGTCCTATTGTATACCTTAGCATGATTCTGGCAAGGGAGTACAATAGTGATCTAGGAGTAGATCACTGGACATCGGTCAAAATTATCCTTAGAGGACTAAGGAAATATTTCTCGGTTATGGAGGTGATAAAAGAGTTCGTCGTAAAGAGTTACGTTGATGCAAGCTTTTTACATCGATCTAGATGACTCTAAGTCTCGATCTGGATACATATTGAAAGTGGGAGCAATTAGCTAGAGTAGCTTCGTGCAGAGTATTGTAGACATAGAAATTTGCGAAATACATACAGATCTGAATGTCGCAGACCCGTAGACTAAACTTCTCTCACAAGCAAAACATGATCACTCTTTGGGTATTGATCACATAGCGATGTGAACTAGATTATTGACTCTAGTAAGCCCTTTGGGTACTAGTCACATGAAGATGTGAACTAATCACATAAAGATGTGAACTATTGGTGTGAAATCACATGATGATGTGAACTAGATTATTGACTCTAGTGCAAGTGGGAGACTGAAGGAAATATGCCCTAGAGGCAATAATAAAGTTGTTATTTATATTTCCTTATGTCATGATAAATGTTTATTATTCATGCTAGAATTGTATTAACTAGAAACTTAGTATATGTGTGAATACATAGACAAACAGAATGTCACTAGTATGCCTCTACTTGACTAGCTCGTTGAATCAATGATGGTTATGTTTCCTAACTATAGACATGAGTTGTCATTTGATTAACGGGATCACATCATTAGAGAATGATGTGATTGACTTGACCCATCTGTTATCTTAGCACGATAATCGTTTAGTTTGTTGCTATTGCTTTCTCCATAACTTATACATGTTCCTGTGACTATGAGATCATGCAACTCCTGAATACCGGAGGAACACTTTGTGTGCTACCAAACGTCACAACGTAACTGGGTGGTTATAAAGGTGCTCTATAGGTGTCTCCGATGGTGTTTGTTGAGTTGGCATAGATCGAGATTAGGATTTGTCACTCCGGTTGTCGGAGAGGTATCTCTGGGCCCTCTCGGTAATGCACATCAATATAAGCCTTGCAAGCAATGTAACTGATGAGTTAGTTACGGGATGATACATCGCGGAACGAGTAAAGAGACTTGAGATTGAACTAGGTATTGAGATACCGACGATCGAATCTCGGACAAGTAACATACCGATGATAAAGGGAACAAAGTATGTTTTTATGTGGTTTGACCGATAAAGATCTTCGTAGAATATGTAGGAGCCAATATGAGCATCCAGGTTCCACTATTGGTTATTGACCGGAGATGAGTCTCGGTCATGTCTAGATAGTTCTCGAACCCATAGGGTCCGCACGCTTAACGTTCGATGACGATCAATATTATGAGTTTATGTGTTTTGATGTACCGAAGGTTGTTCGGAGTCCCGGATGAGATCATAGACATGACGAGGAGTCTCAAAATGGTCGAGACATAAAGATTGATATATTGAAAGGTTATATTCGGACACCGGAAAGATTCCGGGGGGTCATCGGATAAATACCGGAGTACCGGGGAGTTACCGAAACCCCCCGGGGGGGTCAATGGGCCTTAGTGGAAATAGAGGAAAGCAAGGGAGTTGTGGGGCGCCCCCCTAAGCCCAAACCGAATTAGTTTAGGACTTGGGGGGCCGACCCCCTCTTTCCTTCTACCCTCCTCCTCTTTCCTTCCCCTCCTAGTTGGACTAGGAAAGGGGGAACCTACTCGTAGTAGGAGTAGGATTCCCCCCTTGGGGCGCACCCTATGAGGCCGCCGACCCCATCCCCTTGCTCCTTTATATATGGGGGCAGGGGGGCACCATAGAACACACAAGTTGATCATTGATCTCTTAGTCGTGTGCGGTGCCCCACTCCACCATAATCCACCTCGGTCATATCGTCGTAGTGCTTAGGCGAAGCCCTGCGCCGGTAGCTTCATCATCACCGTCATCACGCCGTCGTGCTGACGAAGCTCTTCCCCAATACTTAGCTGGATCGAGAGTTCGTGGGACGTCACCGAGCCGAACGTGTGCAGATCCAGAGGTGCCATACTTTCGGTACTAGGATCGTTCGGATCGTGAAGACGTACGACTACATCAACCGTGTTGTCATAACACTTCCGCTTACGGTCTACGAGGGTACATGGACAACACTCTTCCCCTCTCGTTGCTATGCATCATCATGATAGATCTTGCGTGTGGGCAGGATTTTTTTTGAAATTACTGCGTTGCCCAACAGGTAACGATCGTGATCCCAACCTATTATGCTTCATATTGATCTTGGGTGTGTGTAGGCGCAAAAAATTTATTTTCTACTACGTTTCCCAACAAGGGGTATCCCTTTATTAGTGATTTCGGGATGCTGGGCTTTATAATATATCCCTTTGATCCCAAGGAGGCTCCCTCCTCTCTGCTAGACGATCGAGTTGCCTACCATCATGGCCGTATTCAGAACATCTCCAACAATAGCCCTATAATAGGGCAACTGCCCAAAAATACGTATCATACATCACTTGGACCAGAAAACATGTTTTAACGGATGTCCTAAATATAAAAATTTATTGTCCTGTTTTTGGATTGTCCAAAAAATACATCACGCAAGCGGCTGCCCAAATGCAAAAATTGTAGCCGGCTGCAATCCCGCGCAAGCCAACCGCGAACTGAAACTTCCAGACGCAGCCGCACACGTGTTTGCTTCCTCTCACGCGCACCATCGCCACCAAATCCTTCGTCTTCCGGCCGTCACACCACCCCGTCGTAGATCCATCACTCCTCCTCTCCCCTATCATTGGCACTCCCGAAGCCCGCCGCATCCGCCGCTACCAAACTCGCAGTCTGCCACCTCCGCTGCCACAAAATTTGGCCTCCCGTGCCCCCCTGCCACCAAATTTGCCACCATCGAACCTCCACGTCGCGGATCGACCACCGCCACTCCTGCCTTCAGTTGCTGGCACCTTCGGCCACCAAATCCGCCGGCCCCGTCGTACCTTCGCGCAGCCAGTTTTTCACCATGATGTTGTCGCACCACCAACCGAGGAGCTTGAGCGGCTCCCGCCGCGTTCGCTTGAGGGTGTCCGGCCGTTACTCGGCAGATCTCACGTGCGATGGTTGGCGCTATTGGCTTGGCACGTTTGACACGACAGACATCACTGCGTACGCCTTTGACATTGGGTGTCATAGGCTTGGCCGGCTGAAGTGGGAGTTTAACTTCCCAGAGATCGAACCCCAGGCGTATGCGGAGTTCATCGGTCCCGATATTGAGATGGTGACCCTCAGACAAGAAGGAAACTCAAATCGTCTTGGATCAGTGTTACATACGTCAGAGTGATGATCCTGCTATGGAGAGGTTTGTGGTGGAAAATTCGCACCTCACGCGGGAGGAGTATGGGTACTAGGTGCAGCGGGAAGAAGGGCGAGGCCAGCCCCTCGAGGGTGATCGAGCTTGAGTCAGAGGACGGCGAGGGTTAGGCTCCGACATCGACCGAGACAATCTCTAACTCATAGTTGCCCGTAGTTTGCGGTAGTTCATAGTCGAAGTATGTTTATGTTTGTATCCGAACTATGTTTCAGTTTGTACCCGAACTATGTTTAAGTTTGCAGGTTTACAACTTTGAATGTTTGCATGTTAGATCGAATCTGCAATGATCTAGTGTAGTTTTTATGTTTTGATGCCCTATTTTAGGGCAGCTATTGGAGCAGTGGTGCCCTTATTATTGGGCTATTGTTGGAGACAAAAAGAATCAGATGATATAAAATCCACATTTTGGTGTACAATAACAACCTTAGGACTGTTGTTGGAGATGCTCTAAGTGGTCCGTGAGCTTGTAGCTCGTGTTTGCTTTTCATTGAGGTGTAGCGATTTTCTACACTTCATTCATACAGTATTTTTCATTAAATTTATTTCAGTGCTGCTATTTTTTTCAAATTAGTTCTGTAACGTGAAGACTAACAATATACTCATTTTTCATTTGTGCAAAACCAAGCTCATTTGCTCATATACTGTGGGAACAGAGCGCTAAACTCCATTTCTGCCTATGCCTTCGACACCAACTAACCTGACATTCTGCAGAATGTATGCAGTGATTCTGCAGGCAGGCAATTGAATCTCTGCCACACATTTGTGCGTCGAGTGTGCCGATTCTCGATCCACACTACTCAGCGTGTGAAAGTCAACAAACAAGATGTACCCGATGGCCGGAAAGTTAGCTGCAAACTTTGAAACTCTGGGTCCAACGGCAAGCCTCCAAAGCGGCTCATCGCCCAGCAGTTTCCTAGAGCGAAGCATACACAGTTGACTACCACATGCACTGAGCAAGTCAGAATCCTTTTCTTGAAAAGGCCAGGGACAAGACGTACGTACTCCCGGCACGACAGTCTAACGGGTAGTACACACTACACACTAGGTGGGGATTATATATGTAGGAAGGACGACATTTCCAATTCCATGTACTGTGTCAAATCATGTGTTCATACTGCTGCTTCCCACCTAACGCCTTGAGTTTTTGAGTTGCAGCCAAGTTTGTAACATTGACATGCATATATTTTGACTGTAGATTTCGGGTCTCCTAGGGCAAGACCTTGTACTGCAGATTTCATACTTGTAATATACTGATAATACTACGTCATATAGCATCAGTTTTCAGCCACAGGTTAATTATAGTAGACCATGCAACAGGCCGGAAGGAAGGAGGAAGAAAAGAAACAGTACATCTCATGATGAAATATCAACGGAAAGGGACTGGAAATCTCTACGAGCTCTTTTCTGATCCTCTCAGATTCTGCCAGCAACTACGTACGCTACGGTCGTGCCTCTTGCGTCTATAACACATGCCCGTATCCCTTCTCGTACAGCTTTTGATGCCGATAGTAGCCAGAATCGAGGACTAGGCAATGATGCGTGTGTGACATCCATGGTCAGGTAGACTGACTGACAGGTGATACAAGCAGCTACATGCATGCGTGCGTCCGTGCGACGTTGATCTAGACCAGATACCGATCGAAGCTGCAGAGCCTGAGCTCCAGGGGCGGATCCCGTCCGGTGGCCACGTCGAAGAAGGAGATCTCCCTGCACTGCTGCTCGCCGCCCCTCACGTATCGGCTGAACCTGTCCGCCTCCAGCTCCAGGTCGTAGCAGGCTGCTTTGAGCGGGAACAGCTCCAGCGTCTCCACCTCCCTCGTCGGCCGCTCCCACGTCGTCGCCTCCTCCTGCTCCGCCACCTCCCTCACATAGCCTGCATGCACGCACGAAATGGATCAGCACCGGCCCGATGATCGAAGGACACTGTTCCATTAGGAACAAACCAAGCTCTACGTAAGAACAACGACGTGGGTGCTAACTTACATGTCATGATCCGGGGGTGGTGGTTGTAGCCTCTGGCCTCACGCTTGCTCTCGGGTGGCTGGAGCACGAGGTCGGCGGGCTCGGCGTCGCGGCCAGCAGCACGGCCGGTCTCTTCCTCGTTGCTGCTGCTGTCGGGGGAGCAGGAGGCGACGCGGCGGCGCTTCTTGTGGTGGTGGCGCTCGCGGGCCTTGTGGTTCTGGAACCAGTAGAAGACGTTCTTGCTCTCCACCTTGCCGAAGGCGCTGAGGTGGGTGGAGATCCGCTGGATCTGCTCCGTGCTCGGCGTCCGCAGCCCCGCCCGGAACAGCTCCGTCAGCACCTTCACCTGCTCCGCCGTCGGGTTCCACCGCCCGCACTTCACTCCCACCCGCCCGCTCAGCGCCTCCATTGCCACTACCTCTAGCTAGCTATCTGTAAGATTGAGCTAGGCACTTCCGTCGATCACCACGGTGTATGCCCGATCGATCGAGCAGCTGGATGATCTATCTCTAACTTCAAAATGCTCTACTATCTCACCCCCACTTTGTTGTGCTAGCTAGCTAGTCTCTCGTACTACCGATCTTGTTTCTTCCGGGATCTTCTTCTGGTCAGAAGCGATGCTGAAATCAATAGATGCGCAGAGGGGGCACTTATATAATTGGGCAGGGCCGGGCAGGGCCGAGGCGGTGGTCGTGGCAGTGGCAGTAGCGGATCCGAAGGTCTCACTCACTCTCTCTCTCTCTCAGTGCGCGGTTTCTTTCCTTTTGTTTTCCTCGAGCAAGGGGATGGAGGGAGACATGCGCAAAAGCTGCCACTGCTTGCAAAACCCTACTGCTGATAGCATAGCTCGCCTCGTGCGCCGTGCCCGACATCCTTAAGGCCCCAATTAACAATGGGGCCCTGGTCGCCCATGCATGCAGATCTAAGCGCCATCGTGTCGCGTAGCATCATGTCTTAGACGAGCCCCTGTTTGCCGAGTTGAGGATTACAATAATGCGGCTGATTTGGGGTTCGTTATTCCATGGAGATCCCTGGCTCCTTGCATGGGTCGTGACTCGTGACTGGCCGAGGGGAATCGTACGTGGTGAGGACCAGGCCCGTGGTGCATGGACAATCTGGTTTTGGAGTTCGTTCATTGATCTACAGTAGTAGTATAACCCAATCGAAGTGCCGGCCTGTGAATTCAATATGGAAGGCGTGGATTTCTTGACTAGCTAGCTAGCTTACGAACAAGTTAAACGGCAACAAGACAGATTGGCATTTTTATCATATATAGCAATTAAGCAGTGCACCTGCCAACAAGACAAGACAGATCGATGCTAATTTCAGAAATTATTCTAGTTCGTAATTTTATCGCTCGCTCCATTATCTTAACATACTGGATCAGAGGATGGAAATGCACTTGCATAACTTAATTATTGGCAGCCGCACGCATGGAGATTAGCTATATGTGTGTTTGCAGTCAAACCTGTCAGTTGTACTACGCGCTTGCTAATTTCAACGGGTGAACGTGATCAGGCATGAAAATCAAAAGAGATGTCAGGGCGGTAACATGCTGGGTAGGCCGGGCTTATCTGTTCTATACTAGTCAAACAGTAAAGCTCACACTCGTTTGGCTCGTCCTGTACAGGCGGAACAGTAGCGGCACGCTGCTTCAATTTCCATTCTTACTGTGTTTTTTCTTCCGTGAGGACAGGCCGACTTGTGTATCCAAGTCGTCGAGTCACAAACCGCACCAACTAGCCAGACACGCCCAATCATGCATGAAGACATATGCATACGAGTTGATGCAAAACGCAAGCACCGTACGTGCATGGCACTCGATTCGGCTGAATTCCGGTCTGCTTTGCATGCGCGCTCTCATCAGCAGAGAAGGGTGCCAAACCCTACGCATGGCACCACCTAACCTAATTAAGCTTTTTACATTTTGCATTTATAAGGTAAGCAACCAGTACGTAGTCTTAGAACTCCCGTTAAGTCCGCGGAAGCCAGAACTTTTCCGAAGAGCTCCCGAAAAGTTGTGGAAGGTGTCACACTTTTGGGGCGTCCTCCAGCAGATACCAATGATCCGGCCACACCGCCCGGCCGCGGCAGGGCCGGGCAACCGGAACGAGACCGCGAGCGGCCGCTCCGGAAAGCGGCGGCAAGGCCACCTCGTTCCCTTTGCTTTGCCGCTTGAATAATGGCTCGCACCGGCGCACCGGATTGCTCTGTGTGTGTGAGCGAGAGATTGATGATCGATCGGGATGCCGTTGCGTGCATGCATGCGGTCGCAGCTCGCGTCGGTCGTGGCGCCCGGCCGCGGCCGGCACTGCCGGCTTTCCGGCCTTTGGGCGTTCCCGAGCGCGCCGTGCACGGGAAACCCGTGCTGTGCTGCGCGGTAGCCAATTCCCGAGGCGATCGATCGACCCAGCCGGTCTCGGCCCTCGCCTCGCCTCCGATCTTTCGGCCCTTCGGCTATAGCTTTGGGAGATCGCCTGACCGGCCGTGGTCCACCGCTACGCCACAGATAGTACTAGCCATTCAGCCGGGATTAGTTTAAGCGGGTAGTCTCGTAACCCTTTCTCGCGTGACGACTCGATTGGATTGGACGGACGGAGGGAAGCGGACATGATTGGCCTCCTCCTCCTCCTCTCGATCGCGTCCGGCTACGTGCATGTGCGTCTTTTCGCGGCAAAAGTGATTGACGAGGGTGCATGCATGCATGGGGAGATCCGTCTCATCATGCCCAGGTATGTGTTCGCTTCAAAGTGTGCATGGATGGGCTGGCTCGAGGAGGGTAAAGCAAAGTTGCATGGTTTGGGGCTAATTATCGTGGGTCTGGATGATTTGCTCTCACGCTGTATGTATTTGGTCGGTAACTCAGTATGCTACGGTTTTAGGATTACTGTTTTGTTACTTTATTTGTTGTTGTTGCGAGATAATACTGTTTTGCTGCTTTGCCCCGACAAAACAGCATAGAAAGGCCAAGCTAATTGGTATTTGTGGAGATTAATCGAGTGAGCTTAAGGACCATCATGGCTGGCCGGTGTGGTTACGTACCCTCAAACATGATAGATCCACCCCCACGCGGGACATGACATGACACTTTTTTTTCTTCCACAAAAAATACTACAGTACGTACTACTGATCATAGCAAGTGTAGTATAGTACTAATAATGCACAAGTAGATATAGATGTCGCAGGAGTACCTATATATAAAGTGCGTTCTCAAACTAGACGTATGAATCTGACAAAAACATTTTCCTACGTTCATTTTTAGATGCTTGCTAGACAGCAGTAATGCTACACGACTATGACCGATCATGCATGAAGTCAGTAAGACATAGATTGTCCTGACTCGTTCGTCCAAAACAGATTCGAGCTCCTCAATCTGACCGCCGCCGATTCTTTTAAGCCCGCGCGCACAACAACCTGGTAGTTGGTCCTCAGCGTGAGGCCTTCTCGCTGTCCGGCCTCGCCTTGCATCTCCGTGTCCGTTCTCCCTTGTCTTCCCCAATATCCACCGATCGAACCCTGATCTCGATGCGACGCCCCACGCCCGCTGCATGCACGCGCGCGCGCTCGCCCAACCCCGGTCGAATCAAACGCCACCTTATCTATCTACTCCTCGTAAAAAAAAATCTATCTACTAATGCACCAAATTGAGTGACCAGGACTAACCAAATCTGGAGGCCTATGGGAGCTGGGCACGGATAGGTTGCGTTTGACCTAAGGAGGTGCGTTGGCGTGGCTCTGTTTGGACGGCTCCGTCTGGCCGCACGCGGCGGCAAATTCCCCATGCAGGGTGGCCAAACGGAAGGCGGTCGATTCACGTCGCCCCTCCCGACGAGATAGGTAGTAGTCTATGATCCGGTGTCCGCTTCCCATGGGTGGCAGCACTTGCGCACAAATAATTCCGAGAGTGGACACTGAACACTTCGATGGGCAGCTCCAATGCAAAACAACATAGCTCAACTCCTCAAAGAAAACAAAAGGAACAGCCCGGCATGGCCCTCCCTGCCTGTGTTTTGCAGAGTGGTCTACAGTCCGAAAATCAGAAGGCTAAACGACGGTGATTTCACAGGATTTTTGTGCCTTTTTTTTTGAATGGCAAGAATTTTTTTTTGAGCGAACAAGTTTTTTGTTCGAGTGGGCCAAAAGAGCAGATGATGCCGTCGGGCCGTGAAACGGGCTTTGTGCGAGTTTCAAAAGGGTAGAGCACTACCAAATGCGGCTCACGAGCTAACCCACTCCCCCCACTTCATGTTACTGGTTAGTAGTAGATCGAGATTTACTAGAGGCGACAGAGCCGGTCTTCTCCATTTTTATTTTTACTTTTTTTGTTTTCTTTTGTTTCATTCCTTTTTTTGTCTCCATTTTTTTTCATTCCTTTTCCTTTCTTCTACTTATTTGTTTCATTCTATTTCATTTTCTTTTTCTCTTCATTTTTTTGTTTGGCTTTCCTTTTTCTTCTTCATTTTTTTCTTTTGTGTTTTCTTATGTTTGTTTTCGTTTTCACTCTACATTTTCCTACATGTCAAAAACTTTTTTGTAACAAGTGATCAACATTTTTTGTATACATGTTCAACATTGTCCCAACACTATTTTAAACATTTTTCAAATAATTGTTCAACATTTTAAAATAGTTGTTCAACATTTTTTAAATACTCATTTGAATTTTTTAATACCTATTTCAACATTTTTCAAATACTTTTTCAACATTTTTAATACTTATTCAATATTTCTGAACGATTGTTCAACATTTTTCAAATTCTTGTTCAACACTTTTTAATACTTATTCAACATCTTTTCAAATGTGTTTTTGAACAGTGTTTTTGCTATATATATATATATATGTGTGTATATATATATATATATATATATATATATATAAAGAAAAGTACAAAAATAATATGAAAAACAAAAAACAAAAAAAAACAAAAAAAAACAGGCTGTGGTACCCGCGCGGCTGGGCCAGCCCGTCTGGAGCTCGCCCAGCCGCGAGCATATCCCCCTGTCTCGCTTGAAGCGAGACATAGGGGCGCCCGTAAAATACATTATGTTGGGTGATGGTATATGGCGGCCACCTGCCTAGGAATACCCTTAGGCCAACTCCACCGCGCGACCCTATCCTGTCCGCCCCCGTCTGTTTGGGGTAAAATAGACAAACGAGGCGGTCCAGCGCGTGGAAGCAAACGGACTTTTGTCCGTTTTGTGTTCGTTTTTGACCCATCTGCGGCCAAAGTTTGTGCCGCTTTTGAGGTGAAACGGACACCACGCGGACGCGCGGGCCGTCTGCGCGTGTCCTCCCCTGGCCCGCCCGTCGGTGGCACAGGGCGGGCCTTTTTCTATCCGCCCCCTCCCTCCCTCCGGCCGCACCCCCCTCCACTCTTCCCCACTCCTCCCCTTGCTGTCGCCGCCGTCGTC